ATTTAATAAAGTCACAAGTTGGCAAATTCAAGTGAGACAAGAAGACTTCCCACAAAAAGTTTGTGACATCCATGTCAGTACTGTATTGTTGAAACCCAGAACTTAGGAAGGTTTAAAGATGGATACGAAATTTGCTGCAAAAATAGTATTAGTAAGATAACCCACCCTGTAACTGTTACATTAAGTTAAAACTTCGGATCAGATTTCCTTGTATTTGCTGAAGTACAAGATTGGCAACAGGTAGGTACTAAATCAGATCATTCAATCCTGTGTGTCAATTCCTGTGTCTGGATGTTTTAACTATAGGGTTCCCAAAGTAGGTTAGATTTATTACTACTTGAAGACATGATGTGCCTTTTGCATACTACATGGGACTTCCTACGCAGTCCCACTAGCACATACGTAGTGCCATACTGCCGAATACTCACTTTGCACGCACATATTATAGACCTGTTGGTGCTGGTGGGTATGTTATTTTGTGGCTGAAAGCTGAAGATCTGCTGGTGTGCTTTGGCTTGGAGAGGGAGGCGTGCTGACACTGAGACTGTCTCCATCCAAAGACCTAACAAGGTGAAACTTCTGGGACCACTGAACGTTTTATACATCAGGATGGTTCCCCTGTGCCAGAGGAGATAGACTCAGGAGTCTTGAAATCTTCCAGGATGTTTCAGAGATGCCTCCTGACTCATTCTGGGAATTCTGCGCTCCGTGTGCCCATGTCGCAGGGATGAGGGCCGACAGGTAGTGGTTGCTGTACCTGGTGGCTGCCAGAGCCAGTGCTGCCGGGGCGAACTGAACAACGCTCCCCGTGCAGGTTTGGGCTCAGGTTCCAACATCCAGTATGTGTGTGGGGGGAGTGGGCTTAGAAGAGCCGTATTCAAATCTCATCCTTCAGCCCATCAGGCGGTCGCCCTCAAGCGCTGGAAGAAACGTCTCCCCCCTGGCGCTCGCGGGGACGCGCTGGCCGCGAGGGCCCCTCTCCCGCGCCCTCCCCGGCCCC